CCGAACACATGTCTAGACGGGGCCCAGATGTTGAGCCATTGGGGTGGGGCTTAAAGATTGTGCTGGAGGGGAGGCTACCCTGTTATGTGTTCCCAGAGGCCTGCCATTTCCGGGAAGGGACAGTTATGTGGAGTGAGCTGCTTCTAGGAGTTTGAGGGGGTGTGAGACTCCCTAACAGAGGTGAAGTATCTTTCCTTGTCTGCTGTCCCCATGTGTCTACTCTGAATGGCTCAAGAGCAACCCTCCCTCATCCTAACCTCTGAGAGATGAGCAGGAATCACATGACCAGAGCTCACCCATCCCCATCACCTCAGGAGAATCCCAGTTGGGGGCTGAGATCCTTGGCTGAGGAATGTAGCAGGGAGAAGTAGGAACTGCCTGTCGCCCTCACATCCTGTCTGTCCCCTCATGGCTGCCTGGGGAGCGATGTATGGGAGGAGGCGGAGAGATCGCTTCCTCCCAGGGCAGCAGGAAGGGTCCCTGACTTCCTGTCCTGGGAAGGTGACCCTGTCCCTGTGACTTGCTCTGTTAGCCAATAGGGAAGTTCCATCTTCTACCCAACTTACTGCTGTGGTGCTGGCTTGCTTTTGTGGGATCCTGGATGGTGGACTCATCTGGCCTGGTATGGACTGTGTGGTGGTGGGGGGGAGGGGGAGTAGAACCTGAAGTGGAAAGACCTGTAGCATCCTGCTCTGTCTGCAGTCATTTGCTCCTGGGATTGCATCTATGGTCCTGATGCAACATCGCAGAGACACCAGCAGGGCTATGTCCCTGGTCCCTTCCCAGCACTAGCTTAGCTGAGGGGTCCCAGCATGGCCCTCCCACCAGGTGAGGACTGGAGACCCTGACTGTGCTTTGGAAGCTTATACTCTAGGGGAAAGATGGGAGAGTGGCATGCAGAGGAGGCAGGTTGTGGGGTGTGATCCCCAGTTTTGGAGGATGAGTTGGAGGCTAAGGAGAGGTGGGAAGAGGGATCAGGCTGCAGAAAGTCTGTTTCTGCAAGATCAAGAAGACAAGTCATTAACTCCATAGCTGGAAGGGTCTAGTTCAAGGGTCTGTGGGATCTGAGGGCATGTGGCAGGGGGGCCACCCCAGGCAGAAGAGGGTCTGCCATCTTGCCAGGTCCTACTCTACCCAGGCTCGGCCCTGGCTCTGGATATGTCAGGCTGGGCACAGGATCTCTGGAAAGGAGGGTCCGCAGGGAGAGCCCCCAGCGAGACTTCATCTGCTGTCTGCTGGCTACCCAGGATAGGGACCAGTCTGGGCCTCCAGCTCCAGATGGGCCAGTGCAGGAACCCCCAGGGAGGGAGGGGCCCAGAATGAGAAGTTTGGGGTTCACTATAAGGCTCTGGGGAGCCCTGGAAGTTTTGAGCCGGTGACACGGATCCCTTCTTTGGAAGGAAAGCAGTGCCATGAGGGGCAGGGGGCCAAGGAGAGGGTAAATTAGATGGGGGTGCCTCCCTCTAAGGATCCCCAAGGCCTGAGGGCCAAGGCCCCCCGGAGCTGGGGCCAGGCTTAAGGAAGGCACAGCCCTCTTCCCACCTCCCACAGCAGGGAGCAGGCAGGAGAAGGGCCTGCCTCCCATTCTGTAGGAGATACCTCCCATTCTGTAAGAGATAAAGACCTCTGACCCCACCCCAGGCTCTCCAGGGAGCCAAGCCTCACCCTAGCATGGGGGTTAGGGTTAGGGATGGACAGAGCTTGAGCTACGATGACCTCTCATCTGACCCTGACCCTTTGCTGCTCCTTGGGGCCCCATAGCTGCCCCCGTCCCTCAGGGCCCAGAGTGAAGGCTGGGAAGCTACTAATTTGTGGAGGTCACCCCAAGACCTGTGTCTCTATCACACTGTCCCCTGCCCCTAAAAGGCCCACAGGAGCCAAGGTCAGGGGACACATCCTGCCAGGCCCACCCCCCTGGATGCCCCCACCTCATCCCCACCTGGACCCTGCTCCCTGCAGGGGCACCTGCTGCTGGGAGGCATACCTGGTCCCCAGCTCCACTGGGATCACTTTCCTCAGTTTCTCCCTTAGGGCCTGCAGGGTCTTCCTGACTCTGGGCCACTTCCCCAGCCTCCAGCCCCCAGGAAGCTCCTCCTCCCCAATCCTCTGCCTGGGGAGCCACATTCCGAGCATAACTGAGACAGGTATGTGTCCCTCCCTCTGCACCACTTGTGGGTGAAGGAGACTGCAGGTTTGCTCCAGGAAGGAGGAAGGAGACCCTCATGCCCTGCTTTGTCAGGGAAGTGGCCTGGCCTCTTCCAGTGCCAGCTGCCCACGCACCATGAGCTGCCCAGGCTGGCAGCTGAGCAGGCATCTCCTCCAGCCTTCGGCCACTATACCCTGGTCTGGACACCACCCGTTCACTCCCACCACCCTCCTCTCCCCCACCTAATGAAGACTGGTCCTTGGGCCCCCCTGAATCCCCTAGGAGGGATGCAGGCTTGGGGCCCTTCCCCAGGCCTTTCCCTCCCCAACTCTGAGCCAGGAGCAGAGAAAGGAAGTGTTGTCTGCCCTCTCCGGGCCTGGCACAGGAACAGGGTCAGAGAGTCTGGCATTAGCCCAGCCCAGCCCTGCCCAGTCCTGAAGCCGGGGGTCCTGGCGGCCACAGCCTAGCCTGGCCTGCCTGATTCCAGCGAGCACCCTCCCTTCCTCCCTGCCATGCCAGCCTTTGTGCCTTTGGGCCAGTATTGGGCCTTTGGGGAAGATAGTCCTATGCTATAGCTCAGGCCAGAGAGATGCTGGGTCCCGGGCCGCCAGCCTTGACCTTGGTGGAGGCCCTGCGGCCTGGGAGCTGGACGTGGACGCAGACACCCCCAGCAAGGGACTGGCTCCGCAGAGCAAAGCGGGGCAGGTAGGAGCCCAGGGCAGGTTCCAGGGCTGGCTCCCTCTGCTGTCTGGCATTTAGCTTCTGTACCCCCAAGTCCTGAGCCCGCCCTACTCCCCCAACATTCCTCCCTGCCGAGGTGGGAGGTGGCTTCTTCCTGTCCCTGTTTCCCTCTTCCAGACGTAAGTTCTCACCCCACCCCCTCCAGACCCGCCCCAGTGCAGTCCAGGGCCCCTCCCCCAGGCAGGTCCTTGGAGCAGGGGCAGGCCCAGGCTGGAGGCTGCGCGCCCGGGATTTCTCCTTCCTTCCAGCCACTGGGGGTGGGGCATCTGCTCAGGTGGAGCGTGACCTCCTCCTGCGCTCTCTCACCTAGGGTCCCCGGTAGGAAGTCTGCGAGAGCATGGGCTTGTGGGACCAGGGCGGGCTGGCTGATACCCTCACTGGGGCGGCCCCAGGGACTTGGGGCGCGGTGGGGGGTGGGGAGGGGGTTGCTGCTGAAACCAAAGAGCTTTGGATCCATCACTTCAAGGCAGTGCGCTCCTTTCCCGCAGGCCTGAGCTGGTGGAAACAGCTCTTGACTTTTTCCAGACCCCGCCCCATCACCCTGCTCCCCACCCAGAGAAGAGCCCCAGCATCCATATTCCCCAGCAGATGGAAATGGGGAAAAAAAAAAGTTGTTTTGGAACTGCTCTCCCCTCCCTTGCTGTCTATACCTGCCTTCCCCAGGGCTCTGGACAGAGTGGATTCCAGTGGGGCCTGCCTATGAAAGGAAGGCAGAGCCATGGGGTGCTCACAGCCTCTCTGGGGTTCTGGGAGGAACTGGATCACCTGGTCAGGGCTAGGTGGTTTGGGTCTGGGGCTCCAGCCCCCTGCCCCGCCAATCCTTTCAGACTGAGGTAGGGAGAGTGCAGTGGGTGGGATGGGGCTGCCCCAGGTAAGGTTAGCAGGGGAGTGAGCCCAGACTTCAGGGTTGTAGATCTAGCCAACCATTGCTTGTTCTGCACAGCCTCCTCCAGCCTGTTTTGCTTCCTTCCTAAAGGGTTAATCCCCCAATCCCCTGAGAATCAAAGCCTGCCCCCACCCCATCACCACAGGGGGGTGGAAAACAGCTGCTGAAACTGATCTCTCTCCTGCCCCCCAAATCCTTTGCCTTCACCTGAAGGCCTAGGCCAGCTGCCCTCCCTCCTGACCCAGAGGCCTGAACTGCTCTGCTGGCCCCAGCAACACCCTCACCATTGGGATAGGGGAACCGTGGCTCCCCACACAGGCCCCTGAGGCCCAGCCCAGCAAGCTGCAGGCTGCAGGCACAATCCCTGAAGTAGCCCTGTTGTAGCCATGCGTTCTGGGAAACAAACTCACTCAGAAGGACAATGCAGATAGTGGAGTGCAGTTTATTACACTGGCGGGCCCAAGGCAGAGTCTCCTCTTAGCCAAGGACCCTGACCAGTTTTTCTGAAAACTTTATATACCCTAAGTGTACCTGCCCAAACCCACCTCCCCAAATTCCCTGAAACTAGTCTGAACAAAGGAAAAGAAAGATACAATCAAAGTTAACCCTTGATTCATATGCCTTAAGCCTAGTTAGTTAGCAGTGGGCAATTATCAATAGGCCTGTGGTCATACCCCAATAATCATGATAGAATGTATGATTCTATTTGGTTACACAGATAATTAGGGTATTCTTTTAGGCAACAGAGAGTCTAGGTACAAGCCCTGGGGCTTTTCCTTCCGGGGGCCTGGATTTCCAGTTGGTATGTCATTTTCATAGATACTGGGCATATAGCTCAAAGTCCACAGTCTGGCCCAAGATGGAGTCCTGCTTTCAAGATGGAGCCTGTTCTGTCTGTTTCCTCCTTCATTCCCACCACTTGATGCTCTTAACTCACAGTATGAGCATCATTCATAGGGATATATTGCACCCTGACTCTCCGACCTCCAATTTGGGAGAATGACATCAACCTTTGGGTTACAAAGTTCATAATACATTGTAAAATAAAGGGTCCACAAAGCAGATCAAGGCAACTATAACAATGGTAAATATAGTTTTCTACCAATCACCCTTCACTCAAAATAGGACCAAAGTCCAAAAAGGAAGATTATCATCAGACATAACTTTTACCTGACCTTTCATGTCATCTAGGGTGGCTGATATATAGCCAGATAAATCAGGAATATATACACAACATTCAACTTTAATTATAGCACAGGTCCCTGTTTATACTGAAACTATGGTTAGTCTCAAGATGATACCAGCAAGTCCTTTAGCAGCAGTTGATTGTAGAGCTTCATCTCTTTTTCTTCTTTGAGATGATCTTGGTTTCACAGGGATCAGTGGGGTCCTTTTGTGTAGTCCACTCGGCGTCCTCCGGGTCTGCGTGGTATGCACTCTTCACCCTCCTGTGGTGGATCCAGGGGGTGACACCTGCAACTTTAACTGCAGTCGGGCTGGTTAGAACAACAGTCTATGGACCCTTCCAGACTGGGGCCAAGGAGTCGGGTTTCCAGTCCTTGACCACACCTGATCCCCGGGCACAAATTCGTGAATCTGTTCCCTAAGGGGAAATGGCACCCTTTCTTGTACAAACTTAGTTACCTGATTTATTACCTCACCCGGTTGTTCCATCTGCTGTGAAATCTCATCTCCCCTTACCTGAGGCAAATTTGTTGACACCTGTTTTATTATGGGAGGGGGCCTCCCAGACACAGTTTTGTATGGAGAAGAGCCATGGGACCATGGGGTCATCCTGAGTCTGAGCAGAGCCGTCAGAAACACGTCCACCCAGGAGCAGTCAGTCTTTAGGATCCACTTGGAGAGTGTCTCTTTAAGTGGCCGGTTGGTTCCTTCCACCATCCCAGAACTCTGGGGCCTATATGCTGTATGTAATTTCCACTTGATGTTTAAAGTTTTGCTTACTTGTTATACTAAATCAGCCATGAAAGCCAGGCCATTGTCAGATCCAATGCTGGTAGGAAATCCAAATCTGGGAACTATCTCCCTAAGCAGGCACCAGGCTACTTCTGATGCTCTTTCAGTCTGGGAAGGAAAAGCTTCTACTCATCCCGAGAATGTACATACTATGACCAGCAAGTAATGGTAGTGTCGGTGAGGTTTCATTTCAGTGAAGTCCACTTCCAGATGTTCAAAGGGCAGCGTGCCTTTTACCTGAATCCCTGGAAGTTTCTGTCTGTGCTGAGAGGCAGCATTGACCTGTGAGCAGGCAGTGCAGTTCTGAGATTCTGTCCTGCATAGGGAAGAGAGGTGGGGAACCAAGAACTATTTTCAAATTAGCTCTTCCAGTTTATCATGGCCTAGATGGGTCGCTTGGTGTGTTTGGCCTACCAGAGTGGGTGCCAGCTCCTCTGGTACCAATAATTTGCCTCTTGGCAATTCCCACCATCCCTTTTCAGTCTTGATGGTTCCTTCTGCTTTGGCTAGTTGGTTTTGGGCTTCAGTGTATTTTGGAGAGTCTAGTGTTAGCTCAGGTAGCTCCACCAATATGAGAGCTTTAATAGGGGCTTCACTTGTCACTCCCAAGCCCTCGGCTGCTTGTTTAGCAGTCTTATCTGCCAGTCTGTTCCCTGAGCCCAGGGGGTATCCTCTTTTTGATGTCCTCAGCAGTGTATGACTGCAACCCTTTCTGGTTCCCAGGCAGCATCTAATAGGGTCTTAATTTCTTCCTTATGTTTAATATCTTTTTCACTAGCTGTCAAAGGCCTCTCTCCTGATACAGAACCCTGTAGTGTGGCCAAAGAATACTGGAGTCTGCATAAATGTTTGTCTTACCTTTTGAGAGCTGGAGGGCCTGGATTAGAGCATATAGTTCGGCCTGTTGAGTGGACTAGTGTGAGGGCAGAGAGCTAGCCTCAACGATGGTTTCTTCCATGACCACTGCGTATCCCGACAGTCGTTGTCCTTGTTTCACCCAGCTGGTGCCACTGGTGTACAGGACCCAATCTGGGGCCGGGATTGGCTGGTCTCTCAAGTCAGGTCTGCTGGCATATTTCCTTGCAATCATGTGAGGGCCCACCTTCTCCCACAAGAAAGAGAGTGGCCAGATTCAGGGCCTGACAAGGCTCAGTAGTAACATGGGGGTTCTCAGTACCATATGTACTTCTGTTATTTCCACTCAATGACACTTAAATTGCCATTCTGCCTCCTTCCTAACTGGGGTGAGAAGAGCCTTACCTGCCAGATCCCAGAGGGAGAAGGGGGATCGGCGTGTCTTCACCTGCCGGTCAGCACAGCTGAACCAGAACACCACATGATCCAAGACTGTTTCTCCTTTAAGTTAAAGTCCATTCTGCCTTGGTGGGCTTGATCAGGTGCGGATGAAAATACAGATGGGTTAAATATCCTATGTCCCAGGCCATTTCCGGAAAAGCCAATTCATACTCCCTTATGTGTCCCCCTCCTTCTAGCCTGACAATTCCAAGGGGGTCAAGAATTTCATAGCAGATGGGACATCTCCTTGGGGAGGGCAGAATACGAGCACACAAAAACCAAGTTTCTTCTAAAAATCTCCTGGCAATTGCTTGGTAATAATTTTCCCCAAGACGGCGTGGATACCACCTCCTAAATGACCTTTACAAATTTCCTCCCTAAGGCCTAACACGCTCGTCAACGTGTGTACCAAGCAGTTGTTGTCACCTGCCTATTCCAGACTCCTGTGGGTCTGTGCCCCTTCTAATTCCTCCCAGAGGGGAGATCAGGCCCCCTCTTCCACCCTACCGGGTGGGTTCCTCCTCACCTGAGCGCTCATTTCCCCTGCTGCCATCCACTACCTGCTAACATGAAAGGTCTGGACATTGAGAAGCAAAATCCTTCCAGAAGAGCAAGGCACCGTCCCCCCTCTAAAAGATTCGAGCCACAAGTCCTCGGAGTAGTTAGTCCCAAATGGGACTTGCCTTCTCAAAGTGAGGAGTTTCCTGGCCCATGCACCAAATGTTGTAGCCACACGTTCCGGGAAACAAACTCACTCAGAAGGACAATGCAGATAGTGGAGTGCAGTTTATTACACTGGCGGGCCCAAGGCAGAGTCTCCTCTTAGCCAAGGACCCTGACCAGTTTTTCTGAAAACCTTATATACCCTAAGTGTACCTGCCCAAACCCACCTCCCCAAATTCCCTGAAACTAGTCTGAACAAAGGAAAAGAAAGATATAATCAAAATTAACCTGTGACTCATATGCCTTAAGCCTAGTTAGTTAGCAGTGGGCAATTATCAATAGGCCTGTGGTCATACCCCAATAAGCATAATAGAATGTATGATTCTATTCGGTTACACAGATAATTAGGGTATTCTTTTAGGCAACCGTGTCTAGGTACGAGCCCTGGGGCTCTTCCTTCCGGGGGCCTGGTTTTCCACTTGGTATGTTGTTTCCATAGATACTGGGCATAGGGCTCAGAGTCCACAGTCTGGCCCAAGATGGAGTCCTGCTTTCAAGATGGAGCCTGTTCTGTCTGTTTCCTCCTTCAGCCCCAATAGCACTTGACACCCCAGAGTCCCAGGAAGTGCCCACCTCTCAAGAAAAAGGGATCTCAGAAATGAGACAGTTGGTGACAGCTACCCTGATGAGAGTGACCCAGCTCATCAGTTCTGTGTCCCCATGGGCTACACGGGGACTCAGGAGGGATCTGGGCCCTGTCCTAGGCTGGGACTGGGAGCTGGGGAGGTGACCTAGGCCTCTGGTGGAGCTTCCAGTGGGGAGGGAATCTCCCCTCAAAGGGGCCTCTCCCCCCAGAGCAGATCCTGAGAACTTCCTCTGAGGAAGGCCCCCTGCTAGGGGCTGCTTACAGCTGGACCTGGGAAAGGGAAGATGGTCCCTCCCACCACCCCTCCCACCGAGGCATGGGAGGGGCAAGCTCTCTGTCCTCACAGGCAGCCAGCTGTTTCCAGCTGTGTGGCCTGCACATATGTGTGTGTGTGTACATTTGTATGCACGTGTGCCTGCAACCTCAGGTGTACCAACCAGTACTCAACAATTCTGGTTGAAACTCCAGCTGGTGGCCTGTGGTTCCTGCCGCCCTTGTATCCCAGGACTCAGCCTGGGGAGGGGACCCTGCAGATGCTCTGCCAATGGGATGGTAACCGGCAACCTTGGCTTGTGTCCCAGAGTTCTGGGAACAGGGCTATATACCTCTGCTTTCATGTGGGTCCCATCTCCTGCCTGCTGCCCCAGTGTCCAGCTATGCTCCCCTCCTACCATCCCATCCCCAGCAGAGAGCTGGGCCCCTCCTCCTGTGGGCTCTGCCTCTAGGTTTCTCAATGCCAGAGATAGAAGGGCTGCATTGGACAGGAAGAGTCCCTGGGGTCACTTGGGTTCCCTGTCCCCTCACACACCTGCTGGACCCTGTGTCTGGCTCAGTTAGGGAGCAGGGCAGGTCAGGAGAGGCGGGTCTGCCTTTGGTGTGAGGTGGGTCTGAAGCTCCCTGCCTCTGCCCTTAGCAGCTGCCTTTGCACTGCCCCCTCTGCATACCAGGCCCAGAAGCAGACAGCCTGCTGTGGCTCCCTGAGGCACCTGTCTCTGGCAACAGGTACATGATTTCTGTGTACATTGGGGAGAAATAAAAGCACATCTGGGCCAGATTATGGACTGTCCTGACCCACGAGTGGGGAAAGGATGTGTGTCCACCTCTGTTCCTGGAGAGGGGGCAGTGAGGCTTGCTAGAGTCCACTTGTGAATCCATCCATCAGTTCCTTCCTCACCCACCTGTCTGCTCAGGGCCTAGCAGCAGACCCTCACAGGACCACTGGAAAGGGCTTCTGCAGCTCCCCATGGAGCTCTCCTCTGTCTGGTCAGTCTTTCTGCCCCTTTGTTCCCAGCTTCTCTTAGTTCCAATAGGTGTCTGTCTGCCACTCCTCTTCATCTTGACATCCTCAATACCTCCAAGAAGCACCACCCCCCAACTCAGACCTTTGTGCTGGACTGTGCATCTCTCTTGGCCTGCCCGTGGCCCTCAGCAGGAACACAGGGTCTCCTGACTCACCGGCACTGACCACACCTGGGTGCCACCCTGGCTCCTCTAGCTTTCTGTTTCCTCCTAGACATGGGCAGGACCTAGCTGAAAGAGGTGGATTTGGGGCTGTCCTAGAGGGGAGGGACAGAAGGCATGGATCAGCTAGCTCCACCCCATCCCCTACCTCAGGGATCCCCAACCCCGGGGCCATGGACCACTACTGGTCGGCGGTCTGTTAGGATCCAGACCACACAGCAGGAGGTGAGGGGCTGGAGGGCTGGTGAACAAGTGAAACTTCATCTATGTTTACAGCTGCTCCCCACTTTGGCATTACCAGCTGATTTCTGCCTCCTGTGAGATCAGTGGTGGCATAATAAATGTAATGCGTTTGATTCATCCCCAAACCTCTCCCCAGCCAACTCCCAGTTCGTGGAAAAACTTCCACGAAACTGGTCCCTGGTACCAAAAAGGTTGGGGACAGCTTCCCACCTTTTTTCCAGTTGTCTACTGCCCCCTCCTCTGTTCGGCTTGCGCCCCCTGGTGGCTGAAGCCTGTCTTGGCAGGCGTCCCGGCCCTGGGCTCCCCAGGCCCGCTGGTCTGGCCTTGGCCCTTGCTTCCCTGAGGCCTCAACAGGCTGGCTTCTCCTGGTCTCGTGCAGTCTCCTGAGCTTGTTTTTACTGGGCCTCTGTAGTTGGCTCTGTCTGGATGTGCAGACCCCTCGACCCCATCCTTCGGGTCTCTGTACAGATATCCCCCACGTAGATGCTGCGATCTAGGGCAATCTCTGCTACAGGGTAACCTCCCAGGGGCAGAGAGCTGACCCGACTCGGCACCTGCCTCCTGCACTGAGCCCACTCCCGGAGGAGCTTGGCCGGGCCCGGGCAGGATGAATGCTGAGTGATGGAGGAGGAGAGGTGCCGGGGTCAGCGGCCACTGCCCTGCGAGCCAGCCCCACCTCTTCCATAAGCTCTCCACTTAATGCCACCTCCCGACAGCGCGGGCTAACCGGCAGTGTGGGCCCTGCCCGGGGGCTGGTGGGTGGGCACACAGCCCGCGGAATCAAACGTGGGCGCCTCCCTGCCTTAGCCTCACCTGAGGGGGCGATCGGGCCGGGCTGGACGCCGCCTCCTTCCCAGCGGCTGGCCCCAGTCCAGCAGCGACGTCCCGCTGTGAAACGCCCATTGTCTGCTGAGGCCGAGGGGGAGGGGATGGCCCTGAGACCCGATACTAGGAGGCTGGGGAAGGGGGCCGCGCTGCCCCGTCCTCTTCCCCTCCCCCGCCAGGGCGCCCAGACACCTGAGGCTGGAGGCCGCCTGGCACTCGACTGTTCGATACACTTTACACACTAGCGGGGTACCCTCGAGGGCCCAGGGGTGGAGACTGGCGAGGTACCCCCCCCCCCCAGCAAAGGTGTGTGCGCATGCGTGGAGTATGCCTGCCGCCGGGAGGGCGGTGCCGCCCCACCCCCACCCCATCCTTTTGGAGCGCGCCGGCCCCTCCCCTACGGAGTGAAAGGGATCAGAGGGAGGCCAGTAGGTAGCACTTTCTATTCTCTCTGGACTTCTTTCCCCATCTTCCTCCCAGGGCCAGGGAACGTCTGGAGGGGCCCAACTACACGCGTGTATGTGGGGGCACACCTGATGTGTGCTGTGTGGATGAGGGGCAATTTTTGCATTGCATGAAGGTGTGCAGTGTGTATGCACGCAGGTGTGTATGTGACTGCACAGTGCCTGTGCAGACTTGAGTGAGTGGTTGTAATATGTCCGCAAAGGGGAGACCTGGAACACGGAGTGTGTGTGTACACGTGTGAGCAGTAGCATGTTGCTGTGTTTAAGCCTAGAGGGGATCTGATTCTTGGCTTGGTTCATCCTCTCTTCCTGGGACCTGAGCCTGCGTGGGCTGGTCAAGGCTGAATGACTTTGAGTCTGGAGATCCCAAAATAGCCGGAGTAGCCTGAGCCCTCCTCCCCCTCGACTGGATCTGAGGCCTCAATGGCCCTTTGTCTCTCTGAAGGCATCCAACCCCTGTGGGGGCTCAGACTGGAGCTGAAAGGGACCAGGCTGCATGCGGTTGCCTTTACCCAAGGCCAGGCTGGACAAGGCACCCAGCACCACCACAATGGGAGCATCTAAGGCCAGCCCGTTTGTGGGCAGATTCCAGGATCTCTGCCTGGGGGAGGCCTCCCCCTGATCCCAGGCCTTACCCCTCCCACACTCTGGTTCCCTCCCATGGCCCACCCATGATGCTCCACAGCTGCAGTGGCAGCAGCAAACAGGGCTCCTGTGCGGGCATGTGTCCAGTGGGCAAGTCCGTGGTTTAACTCCTAGCACTGCCTGTAGACCCCTCCCCAAATCAAGGGATCGGATGCAGTCCTAGGGGGGCTGCAGTGAAAAGTAAACGGGAAATGTGTCACTGCCTGGACTCACCACACCATGTTCTGGGCTCTGGGCCAAGCCCTGCCTGGAGGAGATAAAAAGTCAGACCCTGCCCTGGGTGCTCCCAGTCTGGGGCACCGCCAGTATCAGTGTGGTGTGGGCAGTGCCAGGGCGAGGTGAGAGGGTGGGAGGCTCCCCTGAGGAGAGAGTGAGGACAGCCAGGGGCAGGGTCTCCAAGTAGCCTGACTGATTGCTGCTCTGGGTCCATTGTCACACTTTGTGTATTGGCTTTTCCTGCAACTTTCGGTAGAACCTTAGGTTCCAGGGCTTCTCTGCCGTGGGTAATGGGGGACCCGGACAGTGTGGATTGATCCCGCTGGGATTTGGCAGCAGTGTGCCGGGCCGTGGGACGGAAAGGGGTCCAAGGGGATAAACCTGACAGAACTGAGCTGGATGGCCTGTGGTTGTCCCAGCCGAGGAAGGTTGGGAGCTATGAAGAGCCCACCTGACGAGGAGGGAGTGAGCGGAGTGTGTGTGGGAGAACTCCCGGGACGTGTTCGTGAGGCAGCTGGACACGTGGTGGGGAGGACGCGAGTGCCAGGGGGTTTGCGCGCCCTGGCCCGTTGTGACGTCACGGTCCCGACTTTCCCGGACGGCCTCTGGGGGGCGCTCCGGGCCCGCGGACCTGGCTTAGAGCCCCAAGAGTATTTGCATAACGCTTATTTACATGGGACTCATTTGCATAATCCTCTCCCGGTGCGGACCGAGTTGGGAGTCCGGAGATAATTTGAGGTGCTGATGTCAGTTCCTAGGGAGAGGTGGCCCACCCTCTGAATTGAACCCAGCCCACTTCCCACCTGTGTATATGTACTTGGAGATGCTATCCCCACAGTACCAGGGTGGGGTCAGCAAAAGCAGAGACATTGATAAGCACACGCTGTGACACGCAGCCTGCAGCCCAGAACCGGGTCCTTGGTGCAGGCCCAGCCCCGCTGCGGGGACTCAGACAGACACTGCCGCGCCGTCGCTCACACGCACAAGACAGCCCAACCGGTTGGGAGCGGGAGGGAACCCGTCCCTGTCCCGCCCCACTCTCGCCCACCTACTCTCCCTCTCTCTGCAGCCCCCCACCCCACCCCCACACCTGCGTCTCCAGCTCCAGCCTCCGCTCCCCTTCATCTCCCACCCCGACCCCGGCCTCCCAGCCCGACCCTGCACCCTCCCCAGTCTCAGCGCCCCACCTCTGCGCCCTCCCCGGACCCTGCTCCCTTCCAGCCCCGGTCCCCACAGCCACCCCCCAGCACCCCCAGCCCATGCGCTCCCTTTTGTGCCGCCGCCTTCCAGTCCTCATCCGCCCCATCCTTCTTGCGGCGCAAGCCACGACTCCCCGCGGACGCTGGGGTCCCCGGAGGCGTCTTCCTTTGTTTCTGCTCCCCGCCCTCGCTCAGCGGCGCCCCTCGCCCCTCACTCACCACCTCAGTCCCGGCCTGGGCGCGGGGAGCGGGCGCGGCCCTCGGCAGCCTGCTCTTTCTTCTCTCCGGACGCGCGCTCGCTCCTCCCGCTCGCTGCCGTCGCCGCTCCCGCCTCTGCCGGGGACTGAGCAGCTGGGACCCGCCGCCCCGCGCCCAGCTGAGTCCTGGGCGAAGGGCCGCTCACCGCCAGTCCCCCTCGGACCAGCCTCTCCCAGGCTGCCGGGCGGGCAGGATCCGGGGCTGTGGGACTACCAACGCTGGCTCCGGGAAGGCTGAGCACAGCTGGAGCCCGGCCGGGAGCTGCCGGAGCCTCTGGCCCAGGCCTTGACCGGTGTGGACAGCAGGGGTGGCTCTGGCCCTTGGTTGTTCCTCCGCCTCCCTCCGAGTCCAATTTTGGGATTTCTGCTCCAGGAGAATTCTGCACACCCATTATGAGCCTCAAGGGCTGTGGAGGGGGCCCGGTGCTTCCCACTGCCTGGCTGTGACAGGAGCTGAGCTTTGAGAATAGAGCGGCTGTCAACTGCCCCAGGGGTCCAAGAATGGAGAGTGTGGCACGGAAGAGGCCCAAGGGCGCCCCGTGAGAACCCCCACACTGCAAGAGTGGGGGCTGAGGAGCCTGGGTCATGCCTCCACTGCTGCTGGAGCGGGACCGCCGGCAGCGGCGCGGGGTCTCCGTCCTGGTGCGGTATTTCATGATCCCCTGTAACGTCTGCTTGATCCTCCTGGCCACGGCCACGCTTGGCTTCGCGGTGCTACTCTTCCTCAACAACTGTATGTGTCTGCGGGTGTGACTGCCTCTTGGACCCAAGTGACCCTGCCTCTGCTGGCTGAGGTCCCCTGCCTCAGCCAAAAAATTAGGGGACAGGCAGGGTTACAGAGAGGCCATCAGCTGCATCTTCTTGGAACACCATGGGTTGTTCTCTGAATGCCTGAGTCCCCAAAAGCCTGTCCATGGGCTGGGGGGACGGGTGGGAGGATGGTGGCCAGCTCTCATCCTGAGCTGCATTGACAACTTTCTTGGGGATCTGGGGAGTTGGGGCAGCTGGTTGCATTGGGAATAGGGGCTTTGGAAGGGCTTGGGGCTCATCTAAGGAATAGGTGGTGCCTACACCCCTGCCACTGGGCCTTCCTGACAGGTGTCAGGTCAGGATGGTATACAGCTGGAGGGGCAGAGAAGAGCCAAGGCCTCTGTCTTTGTCTACTGCTAGGCCTTGGCCAGTCTTCATGGCTCTGAGTAGAGCCAGTGGAGGGATGTGTGCAGGCAAAGGTGACAACCTCCAGGTTGGACAGGCTATGGAAGGACTGGCTCAGGGGGAGCTAACTTGAGATTTGTTTTTTTTTTCCAGACAAACCTGGGACCCACTTCACACCAGTGCCCCCAACACCTCCAGATGGTGAGTAGGGGTTCACCTAGTGACAGACTGAGCTTGGAACTCTGTGCCTGGATGGGCAGTGGCACTCTCGGGGGTGGGGGGAGGTCAGGAGCCATTCTTGGGGTGTGCACATCAGACGTGTTAGGAGTATCTGGAGCAGGAGGAGCCTGGAGGAGGAAACCTGAGGAGTCCATAGTAGTGGACAACAAAAGGAATGTGGAGTCTGGAATCCCTGGGCCTGGCTGCATCTTGGCCTCAAAGTTGGGACTGGAGCCCCCAGGTTGTGAGACAAGATGTGTGCAGAGGGGTTGGGGGCTGCGGACTCAGGGGCACAGGGGGAGGGTCTCAGCAGGACCAGTGACAGCTGTCTGAGGAGAGATGGGGGGGGGGGGGGGGCTGTCCCTGGACTGAGCAGGCTGGGTCTGGCCTTTTTGCCCTGCTTTGTGGGCTGGGTCCCAGCCCCCTGGGTGCCTCCTGCTGTGCAGGCTGCTGTAATTAAGCTAATGTGAGAGCAGAGGAGAGGATGCTGTCAGTGCTGCAGGAGGGCAGGAGTGGGTGGGGTCCTCTTGGGAGACAGGGTGTTCCCAAGTTTGCTTTCAGTGCCTGGGAACCCTGCTGGGCAGGCACCTGCCCTGGTCCACCGAAGTACACACACAGAGGGCCATCCATAATGGGATGAGCCATGGCAGGGGGCAGGGCTGTACTGGACAGGGAGTTTGGGCCCAGGACTATCTCCCATAGTCTGTGGGCAAGAGGCCTGGAGCTGGTTGGATTTAAACACCTTCTGTCCCAATATCCTCAGTCTCCTCTCCTCAAGCCCCAAGACCTGCCATGTCTCACCTGCCATGTCTCTTTGTTTTCACACACGCACTGCCCCTCCCCACAGCCTTCTACGTGGGCCCCACACCTACATTCTGAACTCATTCTGAACTCATCACACGTTTAGGGACAGCTCCCCTCCCCCCACCCCCATGACCATCGTCATTCCTCCTAGGCACACACACTGCACATTCTTGGCCACAGGCAGGGCTCAGGGCATCAGCTCCATCCTCCAACCTACCCAAGTGTGGGGAGAGAGTTAAATATACCCGCTCTAACCAGAGGCTATAAAAAGCCACTGCCGCCTCCAGCATTGCATGTTGTGAGGGGGGCCTTGGGCAAGCAAGGAGTGAGGCTCCTGCAGGAGGCCAAGCCCCAGCAGTGACTCTTAAGGGCTACGCTGCCTGCAGGTCTCTGGGCGCTCCACCTGCCCTAAGAAGGGGCAATTTACATGTTGAGGATCAAAGTGTTGGAGAATGAGGAACCTAGTGGTCATACAGAAGCAAATGTCCTTGGCCCAGAGGTTGGGACCCTGAGTGATGTCTGGCTGAACCAGGGTGACCAGAGGGAGAGAGAGGCTTGAGCCCAAGGGCACAGACAGAGCAGTTGAGAAGGGAGCCTGTGGTACAGTGAGGTGACCAGGTCCTCAGCCATGGGGGCAGGACCCTGGGAAGGTCTAGTTGAAGCCAAATAAAGCAGCCAGCCAGCCAGAGGAGGTGCCCGTGGATTTGGCCTGGGGATCCCCAGGGCCTTGGGCAAGAGAGGGCTGAAGGTAAAAGGAAGTGCTAAGGGGAGAGGAGATGGTTGAGATGGAAAGTGAAAAGAGAGGTCAGAGTGGACACAGTATTGAGCCTGGACAGAGGAGTGGCCGACGTGCTGGCAGCTCTTACAGCTGTGGTCCTCGGTGGGTTGACCCCTACACAGTGACATCCTGGGCCTCTGCGAGCCTTCACAGGTATTGGCCTATTTAGCCTCACAACAACCCGGGGAGGGGGTAGGTTCTATTGTCTCCATCCCTGGAGATCCTGAGGTTTGGCCAGGTGATAACTTGCTCGCAGTCACATGGCTGGTGAATCCTGGTTCCAAGATCCAATGAAGGGATCTGGGTGGTTGCCCATTAGAGGTAGGATTAGGACAGGGGTGTTGCAGGGACTTCAGGCTGGGATATCCATGCTGACCCCACCCTTGCCTCCAGCCCCTGTTCACTCAGCCTGTGTAGGGTGGGGGCAGGGACTCCCAGACAGATACACAGGAGCCCAGGTAGGCTGTTGCTGTGGTGACAGCTTCAGCTCCCTATGTGGCTCCACCCTCCTCGGAATTGAGGGTACTTCCTTTTGCCCCACTTCCTGAGCCCCCTGGGAAGTGATGAGGGGATGCACCCCTGCTCTCCATAACTTATTAATGATAACTGGACCCAATTAAACATTTATTAGATCCAGACAGCTGCAACCGGTAATGGGCCTACCCTGCCCGCAGGGTGTCATCCTCAGCAGGGGTCCTGAGGATTTCACCTGCCCCTGCCCTGACACTATGCTCAGGAGGGATTGTCCTGACAGCTTTGCAGCTCAGTGAGAGGATGTGCACTGGCAACACTACAAAGTCAGAATTAAAATGTTTAAAGAGGGGATTTCCAGGTGGTCCAGTAGTTAAGACTCTGAACTCCCAAAGCAGGTGGCATGGGTTTGATCCCTGGTTAGGGAACTAAGATCCTGCATCCTGCACAGTCAAAAAAAAAAGTGATAAAATGTTTACAGAAGAGAACGGGTCTGCAAAGCCCTGTGTACGCTTGGGTCCCTGAGGAGGTCATGCTGAGTGTGATGTGGGGCGGCAGGACCTGAGGTGGGGGCTCAGGAGGACAGGTGGGGAAGGATGAGGTGGGTGGGTATGAGGGGCCCCAGGGAAAGATTGCAGCTAGGAGGCCTAGG